GGATTCCACCATTAATAATGTGCTTTTGGAACTGGAGACCAAACTGCATCCCAGCTGCACCGGTGGAGATGTGGTCCTGGGTGCAGTGGGAGACAGCTGGCGTCCGCAAAGCCCGCTGCCCTCTCATTTCTCTTAGGCCATGCTGTGCTGCAGCAGCGTGTCTCCAGCTCTGATGTGCTTGTGAGTCACCTGGGGATCTCACTAAAAGGCAAACTGATTCAGCAGGTAGGGCCTGAGATGCTGCACTTCAACAGACTCCTAGATGGTGCCAAGGATGCTGGTTCCGTGGACCAGACCACCCTGTGACAAGATGCTGGGCACTTTCTGAGAAGGCCTCTCCCTTCCCTTTGCTGTTTGCTAGGCTGGCGTTCGCTTGCCCAGGGTTCCCGGGCTGCCCTCCACCAGACTGGGGTCCTTGCTGTGCTGAGTCCACTGATGGCGTTTGAGGCTTTGTGTGAGAATTCTGACTTCTCACTTCCGAGTGGAATGACCTCCGTGCAGATTATTTAACATTATTGAACTAAAAGCAGTGATTCTCAAAAGCTACACAACCGTGTGGATCGTTTAACGTTAATACGATGAACCAAAAGCAGTGTACTTCGAGCCTACCAGTGGATCTAGTTTCTAGCCTTCGGCTAAGGATTGGAGGTTGAGCCCTGTGCCAGGGGAAGTGTGCCCGTGCTGGGAAGGCTTGTCCTCACGTGCTAGCCTTCGCTCTCCCTCGGAAGCCTCAGTAGCAGGGAACACCTTGACGACACGGCAGAAGCGGGCGCCCTGTCCGTCAGACGTGGTTGTGTTTTCCACCCCATCCTCAGTTCTTTCACCCTCTGATGAGCCTCATTCTGGCTCTGAGTGGACTGAGCTGGATCCAGTTGGACTTTTTCCCCACATTCCTGCTTCTCTCAGACTCCAGGTTCTCAAGGAAGGGACAGTGCCGTCAAGGTTTGTTGAGCAGGAGATGTGGAGAAGGATGCTGCCTGCATTCCAGCAGGACCACGTCCCGCGGCATGTCACAGGTCCCCCCAGAGGCCCGTAGGCGGGATGCGCGTCTGGTCCTATTGCAGCGCCACACAGGAAGCCTTCGGGGAAGGACGTCCTTTATGCTCTTCCGAGATCTTCTCCTGAGGAAAGTCTGCTGCTTTCCTTCTCCCAGTCGGGTCCCTGAGAAGCTTAACAGTGGAACGGCGCACTGCGTCAAAGGCAGCTGACAAGACGAGCTGCCCGAATTTACCCTGGGGCCTCTGAGGTAACCGATGGGAAAGCAGCCTCCAGGTGGGCCACATGAGAACCCGTGCAGAGGTCTGTAAGCGGATGGAAGCCGACCTGGATCCCGGCAGAGGAGCAGAACACCCATATCTTTCTTCACTTGGAAGGAAAAGCTGAAGGCTCGTTCCCCATCTGCACGAAGACGGTTCTCCTGTTAGACTCCACGTTTCACCGCAGATGGCACCTACTTTTGCTGGTTTTTAAAAAATGCGAAAGCTGCTTGTGGCCCACTGATCAGCAGCGCTGGAGTCCATAGTTGGATACTCTCACCAATTGAAATAAAAACATGCATTTTAACACGCTCTTCAGTGATTTAACAGCACGCTGAAGTGTGAGAGCTGCTCCAAAGCAGTAGTTCTCAAAATTAGGTCCCTAGATGAATAGTGTTAGTTTCACCTAGGAGCTTAAAACAAAAAACACAAAAATCTCAAGCCCTGCGCCTCACTCACCACTGAAGCAAAAACTCTGGGAAGGGGGCCAGCCTCTGGGAAGGGGCTTTGGGTTCTAATGAGACCTCCAGATGATTTTCCTGCACGTTACAGTTGGAGAACTACGGCTCCATGCGGCATCATCGTTATCCTGGATTCAGTGTCACTCGTGAGGTTGTGGCTACCCGAGTTCCTGCCTCCACTTCTTTCAACACTTCCTTCTAGTGAATAAAGCTGAGAATCATCTGATTTTTAAAATTCCTCTTTTTCTGGTTTTTTTTTAATTGAAGTATAGTTGATTTACAGTGTTGTGTTAGTTTCAGGTGTACAGCAAAGTGATTCAGTTATACATACATAAATACCTACTTTTTTGGATTCTTTTCCATTATAGTTACTACAAGGTATTGAATATAGTTGTCTGCACCATACAATAGGACCTTGTTTATCTATTCTATATGTACTAGTGTGTATCTGTTAATCCCAAATGCCTAATATATCCCTCCCCCATCTTTCCTCTTTGGTAACCGTAAGTTTGTTTTCTATGTCTGTGAGTCTATTTCTGTTTTGTAAATAAGTTTATTTGTATCATTTTTAAGATTCCACATATAAGTGATATCATATATTTGTTCTTTTTCTGTCTGACTTACTTTGCTTAGTATAATCATCTATCTCTAGGTTCACCCATGTTCCTGCAAATGGCATTATTTCATTCTTTTCATTCTTTTTCATGACTGAATAATATTCCATCACACACACACACACAAACCCCCCATGTCTTTATCCAGTCATCTGTTGATGGATATTTAGGTTGCTTCCACTGACATGATTTTTTGATCTCAGTCAGCGAGCCAAGAGAGATGCTACCTAATTTTACTGATAGTTTTTATTATGGATTCATTTTTCTCATGTAAATCTAGAAGCAGATGTGGCAGAATGATTTGAGACTGAAGCATTGATTGATTGTTGATGTTGCTAAGAACAGTTTGCCAGTCTCAGTTGGCTGGCTCAAAGGTTGGCAGTGCAGTCCCCTGACCCCCATTAATGATACTCTGCTCAATAATTCCATTGAGTTTGTAAATTCATTCTCTAACTGGGCCCTGATCTAGATAAAAAGTAGAGGAAAGATTTGCTATTGAATCTTTTAATTGATCAGCATGTATTTGCTCTCTGCACAGGATTTTAAAAGATACAGAATAAATAGGGCACTGTTCTTGGCCTCAGTAGAGGCAGATAAGAATAAACTGTAAGAACAAAGATCACAAGTAGAATGCAAGTGTTTTCACTCAGCAAAGAAGTCTTGAGAATCCATCTGAAGTGACTGTGGCATATTAGAACAGAGACTCGGGGTCAGGGGAACTGGTTCTGTCCCAGCTCTGCCGTTTGTCAGCTATATGACATTGGACAAGTCAACCTCTCCAGTCTTCAGTTTCGTCATCTGCATTACAAAACAGTAAGAATATTCAGAAACAGTAACACCTACCTTAGTCATTTCACAGTATTGTTGAGAGAATCAAATGAGAGACCAACTGGGGATAAACGGAACAACCTAACGTGCAATACGTATCAAATGAACAAGCATGAGGATTGTAGTATGTGAGGATACTAATGCTCTGCAGGGGATACAAGAGGTAGCAACCATTGCCCCAGGGGTCCGAGCAGGAACTTAGATGCTCTAGTCGAGGAATCAAAATCTACACGCACACAGACGTAGTAGGGCCGCGTGGGGTCAGTGCCACCTGGGAGGCAGATGGCTCATTCCCTTACACCCTTCAGGTCTTTGCTCAGATGGTGCCTTTTTCGTGATGCCTTTTCTGATTGAAATATTTAATAACACACCCCACTGCTCCTATAATTTTTCCCTGCTTTTTATTTATTTTTTTTAATTTCATTCTTTGGGGAGGGGTATAGCTCAGTAGTAGAGTGTCTGCCATGCATGAGGTCCTGGGTTCAATCCCCAGTACCTCCACTGGAAAATAAACAAATAAACCTAATTACATAATAATAATAATAATAATAATAATAAATTTTAAATTTTTGTTCTCTAATTAATATACCATTGTATGTTACTTAATCTTACATGCTTACTATCACTTGTTTTCTACCATCCACCCCCACTTAAATGAAAGTTCCAGGAAGGTAGGGCTTTTGTGTGATTTTATTCACTCTTTTATCTTCAGAGCTTAATGATGCATAATAGGCATTCAATACCATATGTGGGGGGCAGATGAACAATTAGCATCTATTAATTAGATTATGTTATTGGCATCAAACATACGTCATTTTTTGTGTGTGTTTCATCAGTGAGTCCTGTATCTCTATTTTTTACTTTTAAAGATCTGAAGTAGGGGAAACACATGACCACTGCTATAGATCTGCTGCTTAAAATCCTAGCAACAGACTCACATTTTGCAAGGTAGACCGATTAACCAGTATAGAACATAAAAATAAAAGTTTTGGTGTGGTGGAGGAAGCAGTAGTTGAGTGTCAGAACGTCTGAATTATATCACTGCCCAATGACTAATGGACTTTTTGGTGTGGAGTAAATACAACTTAACATCTCTAGGCTTCTGTTTTTATCTATACATGTGTACCACGGGTTAGTTTTAAAGTGCCCTATTAAGCTATATTTATATAATTGTCAGTTTAAAGAGTAGAGAAATTCTTTTTTCTCTCTTACATTGGGTAAAAAATACCTTATTTACATTTTTATTACATAAGACTTCCACTTCCACTAGATCATGAGAGTCGTAATTAAAGAACATTCATGTTTTATAAAACTCAAAAGGTCAAAGATGCCCCATGATAATGCCTTAGGTACGTAGCATTTTATATTTGCTTTTAAAGATCTCATTGCCTGTATTTATTTCTAACCCAATATAGAATATGTTTTCCCTTGTCTGAAATAAAGACATTATTAAACTGACCTAATGTAAACTTTGGTTTTTAAGCTCACATTAAATAGCCTGATAACTTTTTTTTTATAAGTTTCTAAAATAAGCCATCTATTTTATGCATGGCACAAATTAAACTCCTTTCAAATCTGCTTCAGAAAGAAAAGAATCTTTCCACCATCATGTTTAATTTCTGCATAGCTTGTGCTTATTAAATTCAGAAGTTAATAGTACATAAATAAAACATGGCTTTTACTTTATGAATTGCATGTGGAACACACATTTAAATGCTTATAGGGAAAATGAGAAAATCCTGGTAAACCAACCACACGAAACTAGTCTTTTTCTTTTCCTTCATGCAGCTGAAGATCTGGTGATCTTCAGCACCTTGAAAATTTAATTTGAAAACAGGGGGGAAGGTATAGCTCAGCGGTAGAGTACATACCTTGCATGCACGAGGTCCTGGGTTCAATCCCCAGTACCTCCATTAAAACAAAATAAATAAGCCTAATTACCTCCAAAAGAACCCCCAAAATAGAAAACAAAAAAACCCCCAAAACGAATCATACTATCATATGGCCTTTGCGTATTTAAATTAACCTAGCTTGATGATCTAACTAACTTTCCACCCTAATTTTTTTCTTACTTTGTATTTCCTTTTGTCAGCGGCTTGCCCACAGCAGGGAGACTCCTGTAGCTGACGCAGCAAAGCTCTACTGGATGTTTGAAAGAACCATGCAATCAGGGATTCTTGGTGTGATGCTCACGGTG